TGCTTGGGTTTTTTTGGGGTTAGTTGAGTTAGTGGCCGGTGGTGGCTGGGTCATGCGTGAGTCGTAGCTAGCTGGGTGTGTGTGCCCCTTTGATATAAGAGCATCTCCAGCCGTTCGGCCTTCCAGAGCGTCGGAAAAGAGTGGCCTGGGGGTGAACCGGCACTATATTGGCCCCTGGGGGAGACCTAGCTTCCAGCCACGCCCCAGGCGGCGCCTCCCAAGCCACGGCAAATTCAAACATGGACATTTCCGCTCATAAAAGACGTCACAAGTCCGGCGATCACATCGCCTAGTTCGGCGATCATTAGTTCGTCAATTGTATGAAAAGTTTGGCGTACAAAAAAGAAAGGACGTGCGTGCAATGCTTCACACGGCGGGGTCGGCCACCGGCGTCGGTGGAGTCGGCGTGCGTGGGCTTGGCGGTGTCAAAGTTGCTTCGATATTGGGCGGCGTCGGCGGGGCTTCTGTGTTGCTGGGCGTCGTGGAGGCATCATCGCTCGGGCTTGGTGGCGGCCTGGGCGTGGGCGTGGGAGTTGGCAGCGCCATGGACGGTAGCTGGTTCAGGATGAGGCTGCGCTCTTCCAAGTACCACGCCTTGATCGCCTCATTATTGCTCTGGAGCATGTCCGCCCCGCCCAGCAGGAAAGCCAGGTCAGTGTTCCTCTTCTTCGCGGTGACGTTCGTCCGGAGTAGTTCGAGCTTAACGGTGTTGCTCGTCATCAACGCCGACCACCGCGCCTCGGTCTTCTCTTCACGATGGGCGGCCCGGGCATGTGTGTTGGCGAGGCAATGCTCGATGGACTCCTGCATGCACGCGGTAGCCGAGTCGGCGTGTTTCCCCTTCTTGGCCCCTTTTTTGCCTTCAGGGAGCCCCTCGCCCGCGCCCGGCGTCGGCTCGTCCGGCTTGTAGGTCTCCTTAGCCTTGGCAAGGGTGCCCGGGCATCTTCCCACTTCTCGCACTTCTTGATCTTTTTGAAGATGTGGAGGTACTTGAATTCTCGGAGGGCAGCACGCGGAAGCTTGTGAAAAGGGCAGCGCGCCATGGCGAAGAGGGGGTGTCGGGTACGACACGTAGGCCGGCGGTGAGTAGTTGTATGGAGGGTACTGCACGCCGGCGAAGGCGGGCGAGGGCGTGCGCTGGGCCGGGTGACCATGGGGGAAGGTGATGTTGGGGTTGAACCCACCGTGCGCGTCCCCGTCGACGTAACCCAGCGACGACGTGCATCCCCAGGGTTGCGGCGACGACGAGAAGCCAGCCAGAGAATCGACGCTTTGTTGGCTCCAGGGCGCGTGCTAGGCGTGGCCCCGGGGAGGATTCGTCATCCCCACGCGAGCCGCCTCGGCTTGTTCGGCCGCAGCCGCAGCCACAAGCGTCGCGTTGTCCCTGGCATTCTTGGCGTTGGCCCTGTTCTGCCGGCCGGTGGTGACAGCCTCCCGACGCTGGACTTCCGCCCTCTAGTCGGCGTTGGACATGCCCGGCGGCTTGGACGGCAGCGCCCTCGGCTTCGTCTGCTTCGGCTGGGTCGCAGCCGTCGCGACGCGGGGGATCACGTATTTCTTCTGCGGCATGGCTTGCAGCGAGGGGATGAGAAGGGATATTGGTGGGAGGAATGGAGAGAGTGAGAGGGAAGCCGGGGGGGAAGCGGGAAGAAACGGCGGAAAAGGCCCTCCTCTCGCTGACAGAGCGGCCCCACGCCCCTTTTCGCTTGTGCCGGTGCCCCCAGCGCGCCAGATTCGGCTCGGGTGCACCGGCTGTTATTTCGGCCCAACCTGGCGAAAAACTGAGTCCTGGGGGCGCGACTGGGCCGATTTTCGCCCGCCGACGCTAAAAATTTGACTGGGAAGGGCCTGTTGGGGGTGCGGCTGGAGATGCTCTAAGAGCGTCTCCAACCATTGGCCCCCCAGGCGGCTCGTAAAATCGCCGCCTGGGGGCGAGCCGGCGCTAAAATCGGCCTGGGGGCTTTCGGGTTCCCAGCCGCCGATCACAGGGTCGTCCCTAGAAGATGTTTTTAATACTTTTTGAAAATGAATTCGGCTAAAATTCAGCAAACGGGACAAAGTTTTGCCTAAAATTTGGCGAACATGGCAGTACTTAGGTGATTTAAATAGTTTTTTACATGGGAATCTGAAAATACTTTTAAAAAAAGGCCGCAACTACAGACCGAAGAACGCGCTAAGCACGGCGAGGTCGCCGCCATCGCCGTTGTCATCGTTGTCCTTCTCCTCCTTCACGCGGCCGCCCCTGCTGGACCCTTGCCCAGGGTCACCCTGGCGGACAGGTGGCAGTGCATCCTCGTCGCTATGTCATCGAGGACGACGACACCTCCCTCGTCGCAGCACTAGCGCTCCAGCTCCGTCCGCCCCTAGTTGTGTCACGACCAGCGGGGGGGTGGGCACGCCACCGGCGCTGAGTCTCCCCCCTCCCCGGCTCCGCACGCATGTTGGGAGGTGTCAGGATGTTGGCCTCGAACAGCAAGTACGCCTCCCACTCGTGCAGCGAGTGGTGGCCGAAGCCGTTGGTCGCCGCCCCATCGCCGAGGAATAGCTCGCCCATCGTCGTGACTGAGCTTGGGAAGAGAGGGGAGGAATATCGGCGACGGCTGCGCACGGGGAGAGAGGGGGGCAAAGCACGTCAGAGAGGAAGAACACGGCGGTTGTGGGCGGGTGTGGCCACAGGCGAGGGGGGCGTTGCTTTTATAGTGGTCGGGCGTCATGTGTACGCGTGGCGGGAAGGGGGGGCGTTGCCGCGCCGCCTGTGAGGAATCAATGGAAGGCTGACCGGCGACAGCCTTGGCATTGATTCCCTGCGGGAAACCGAGGCGTTGTGAGGATGACGAGGGTGAGTGTCGCTGACTCGGCGTGCCCGCTGTTCGTTCGCACCAAAATCGCTTGCCCTGGCACCCTCGAGAGCCCCCCCCCCATTGTGCCGGATTCGGCCTGCGTCTGCCGGCACCAGTTTCGGCCCAAACCGGCTAAAAAGGGACTCCTGGGGGCGCGACTGGGCTGAATTTTAGGCGCCGACGCGAAAAATCGCCTAGGGGGCTATTGGGGGCGCGGCTGGAGATGCTCTAAAACCCATCCCCTTGTGTATTGGTCGATTGCCGCAGTATGTGCCGAGCCAAGTGAGAGGGGCCTAAGAAAGATGAAGTCTTGGTCGGGACCGTGGTGTGCGCCCGGTCGACATGAGAGTTCTTCGAGGTTGTGCGCGTGTGTGCGTGTTTACCTCTATGTATGTGTTTAAGACAGTCTTTGTGAGGAATAAAGCTAAGATACACGCGTTGGTGCGCCGCAGCATTCGTCACCGGAAAAAATCATGGTGTCTCCTTCCTCTATTTTTTCCCGGTGTTTGTGTCGTCGGGAGGCTGCTCGGCGTGTGACGCCGAGGAGGGTTAGTCTGCCCCAACATTAGATTCACCATCAAATATATTTTCGCATCCTATGTTTGTTACTGTATATGTTCATATTTTTATATAAACTAAGCCAAATTTTATAAACTTTTTTTGGAAAAACTTCATAAAATTTCTTTTTTCGATTGAACAAAAATGTAATAAATAAACAAGTAAAAAATCCTTAAGAAATTCATTCATTCCTTTTTGTTTATTTCTCTGTGTGGTCTTGGTAATTTTAGGTTTTCCCTTTGTGTACGCCTACCATCTGGTACTTTATATTTTTCTTTTTTTCTCGAATATGCACAAGCGTGCATAGTTTATATTAAAGAGGGAGAATGGAGAAAGAGCCCCTCCATGTTGGCGTTACAAATTATATGAACTCAACTCTACGGCTACGCCGCCCCACTCCACAGCGAAATCCTATGAGTTACATTCTCGCTCTCACCCACCCTGGCACTTCCCCAATGGACACATCGCCCTTGCGGATCCCAGCCATCTTCCATGCTCTGCTCTCAACTTCAATCCTGGCAAGTATTCGCTGTACCGAAGGTGTGCACCCATCAAACACAATAGCGTTTCGGTGCTTCCATAGCTCCCACATCACGAGGATGGCCATCGCGTGCGCGTCCCTCGTGCTCTGGCCTGCATCGTTCATGTCATGGCACCATTCAGAGAGCGATCCCCCTTGCTGGTGCCCACGTTGCCTGCCCAAGGCCAGGACCAACCACGTTCCATACCTGCCGCGCAAACACACAATCCACCAGAAGGTACCCAATTGTCTCCTCCTCTTGATCGCATAAGGGGCACACCTCCATGTGATCAAGGCATCGCCGAGCAAGACGGTCTGAGGTCCAGCACCTGTTGCGCTGAGCTAGCCAAGCGAGAAACGACACTGGAGGGGCTCACGGTTATATCATTTTCTTAGATGAGCTCCTTTATCAGTTTTTTTTATGATCACCTCCTCCTTTATTCACTCATAGCAATGGTGGCATTGTTTACAATCAAGGGAGTAACCGCATCAGGCGCAAATTCCAGCCAAGAAATCGAAGGAGAAAATCTAGCTAGCCTAGCTAGTTCATGAGCTATCTGATTACTCTCTCTATTACAATGATCAAAGGTTATATGATTAAAATCTAGAGACATAAAATAGCAGCAATTGAACCATCAAGTAATGCTACGACCACCTTCGCTCTTTTATCAGTTGGTTGTATGGAATGCATCATGCGGACGGAAATCGGTGGAAAGAAAGTCACGTGCACGCGCTAGAGGACTGACGTCCGGGCATTACAAATGTCCTATGTTGAATTATTCGATGTAAACTTTGATCACATATTGTTACTAGTGGTCAGTAGTACTAATCAAACCGTAAATTAACTAATCAGCTGTCAATCGAATCTTCAACCGCAGTTCCTTATCTACCAAGTTCCTTAGGAGCAAGGGCATTGATCAGATAGGCCACAACCTTTGATATCAAATAAATAGTGCAAGAACATCTCTTAAACAAAAGGGACATCTCTATATAGCATGACCATCTCTAGCATACCGATTCAATCAAACCAGTCCCCTTGCACTGGCAACTGGCCTTTCTTCCCTCACTTGTCAAGAGAGAGAATGATCCTCAGTGTGCTGATGAGTCCAGCTTCAGTGCCATGGAGCTCCCTAGTATGCGGTACCCTCGGCTTTGTGCTTCTATGGGAGGCTAGCCGGTTGGTAGATTTGCTATGGTGGCGCCCGTGGTGGCTTAAGCGTGCCTTGCGTGCCCAGGGTCTCTGCGGCACGTCTTACCGCTTCCTCGTCGGAGATCTCATCGACTACGGGCGGCGGGACAAGGAGGCACGATCGAGGTCAATGCCTCTGCGCTGTCACAACATAGCCCCACTCTTCCCGCCGTTCCTCCACGACCTTGTCCGGGAGCATGAAAAGACATGTATATCTTCGTTGAGTGTGTTCCCCAAGGTCACCATCAGCGACCCTGACTTAGCCAAGGAAGTGTTGTCGAACAAGTTCGGCCACTTCGAGAAGCTCAAGTTTCCGGCTCTGTCTAGGCATCTTGCCCGAGGACTAGCGGCTTACGACGGCGAGAAATGGGTCAATCATAGAAGGATCCTTAACCCCGCATTCCATCTCGAGAAGCTCAAGGTATTTGTAGTCGTTTCGTATGAAGTGTTCAAGCATTGGCTTGCGAATTAAGTAAGCATTTGTTTTCTTTCAAACTTGTATTAAGTGTGTGACTGATCCTCCAAGCGCACATCATCAAATTGAATTTGCAGCTCATGATGCCAGCCTTGTCTACATGCTGCCAAGAGCTTGTCGGTAGATGGACGTGATCCCTTGGTTCAGACGGTAGCTATGAGTTGGATGTCTTCCCGGAGCTCCAAAGACTCACTGGAGATGTCATTTCTCGCACCGCATTTGGCAGTAACTACCTTGAAGGTGCCAGGGTTTTCCAGCTGCAATCCGAGCAAGTTGAACTCATTGTGGCCAGGCTAAAGAAGATTGTGCTTCCCGGTTACTTGTAAGTCAACACCTAGTAGTACTAGTAAGTTTCAAGATTCGATTTTCCTACCAGAAGAGAACTAATGGGACAATATGCATATCTAGTATAAAACCAGCATTAATAAAGACCGTAGTACTGATTTAGAGTAACACCGGAGATCATGTTTTATCGATCTAAGGTCCTCTATTTTAAGTAATGAGAGTAAATTATTCTGTGATTTGTAAATGTGCAATATGATTGATTTAGTACCGTTGTTCAGCAGTGTGCGCTAATAATTTATTGGGGTATTAACAGGTCCTTGCCGACCAAAAACAATAGAAGGATGCATCAAATTAATAATGAAATTGAATCCATTCTACATGGTCTAATTGAAAAAAGAATGCAAGCTATGCAAGAAGGAGAAAATACCAATGATGACTTGCTCGGCTTGATGCTTGAGTCAAACATGAGGACCTCGGATGACAATGGCCAATCCATCTCAGGAATGACCATTAAAGAGGTCATGGAGGAATGCAAGTTGTTATATCTTGCTAGGACAGAAACAACATCAATACTGCTCACATGGACAATGATCGTACTAAGTATGCATCCAGAGTGGCAGGACCGTGCAAGGGAGGAGGTCATTAGCTTATTTGGAAAAAACAAACTTGAGTATGAAGGCGTTAACCGACTCAAAACAGTGAGTGGTGTTTTGTTTACTTGATTCCATTGTTACAATGGGATATAAAATTGGATATATAAATCTTGCAATTTATACATACCTACGCAAGTGACCACGATTCTTTACGAGGTACTCCGATTGTACTCGCCTGCCGGTGGGTTCATCCGAAAAATGTACAAGGAGATGAAGATTGGTGACATCACATACCCTGTTGGTGTCCTCATCGAGCTTCCTGTGTTGCAGATGAACCACGACCCACACATATGGGGAAGCGATGTTCATGAGTTCAAGCCAGAGAGGTTCGCCAACGGGATCTCTAAGGCGTCCAAGTATCCCGGTGCATTCCTACCATTCAGTTGGGGGCCACGGATTTGCATTAGCCAACAATTTGCCATGCTTGAGGGCAAGATGGCATTGTGCATGATTCTTCAATGCTTTGAGTTTGAGCTTGCGCTCATGCAGTGGATAACAGTAGAGTGATGTGTCCGACACATGGCGCACAAATCAACCTCACGGCAATTTAATCATCATGCATAGTAATATAATATATACATGTTGTTCACTATCAGTTGCCATGTACCTAAACATATAATTAGGCACTAAAATATCGACGAGTTTGTATTTCATGTGAACCAACCATTTTGTCTTTATTATTAAAGTTGAGTTGATGGTTTTCGCTGGTGTGTCACCTCCCACCCGCTCCTCCACGTGTATGCTTGCTCCTTGACACTTAACACGCACAAGGGCCTTGCCCATCAAAAATTCACACATGTGTTTTATGCCTTCATCTATGTGAAGTAAAAAGGTAAATGATGGAATGATTGCTTTCATTGATAAATTTGGGATACATATACCATGAGTACAAAGGTGGTTACAAAGGAGGCAATTGTCAAAAGTGGCAACTGGCATAGCACGGATTAACCCTTTAACTAACATGATTAATTAATTCCTAACACTCCTGCTAATCAATGCTTATCTTTATGAATATGCATCATCTTGATAAATACTCCTCCTTGTATGTGTTTGCCTTCGAGAATGTTCATCGTCATCTTCTGTTTGCTGGAAAGAAGGATCATCATCTTCATCTTGAGAAAATTTTCTTTAAAAATCCAGTGGAAATATGAGGAGAATAGTATTTGATATATTGTGAAAACTCATTTAAACCCTGTGGGAAAAATAAGGAGCAAATGATAGAACATATAATGATTATTTTCTCTTGATAACTCATGCGAGAAAACCTTTGAAAATAGAGAAAACTCATTGGTGAGTGTAAAGAACAATAAATATGTTCCGTGTATTTACTTTAAAAAATCAAGGAGGAAAATTAGGAAGTATGATATATGATCGTAGACATTGCCTTATTAAAACCATTATGAGAAACCCTAAGAGAAAAACTCATAAACGAAAAGAGCACAAAATGATATGCCATTGAAAACTCTTTAAAACCCCAGTGAGAAAAATATAAGGAGAAAGTGATATGACATATGTCAACGCTTGTATTTGTATTGTCTCATTAAAAACCTAAATAAGAAACCATCAGGGAAAAAGCATGGATGGAAAAGAGTACAATATATGCATGAGGATTGTGAACGTGTTATAATTTGGTACTTTACTCCCTACTGAAATTTGCAAATTTTAGGATTGTCTCGTACCAATTCTAGGGAAATGATTATGGAATATAGAAGTTGCTATTGACAATGTGAAATATTTGTTAGATGTTAACAATATTTTTGGGCAAATTATCTGCTCACTTTGGAATAATTCATGGGGTAAAAAAATTATGAGTAACTTTCATTCTAGTGTTGCTCTTCATATAACCCATATGTATTTCAACAATACAACTGCTATTATCTTGCTAGATAATATATTATGTGATTTTGATGAATCTTAGCCACATGATTTTGAGTGTGGTCAATCATTATGCCAAGTCATGCACAATTTTCAATGATTCATACAACATAACTGTTTCAGAACGATTAGTGAAAGTAGTCATTGGAGTCTGTTTAGATGACCTGTATGAAAAAACTATTCCAGTGAATTATGTGTAAGATTCGACATTGTTGGGATCACAAAAGTGGATAGTATATAACAATATAGCATACCATGGTCATATTTTGATTCTACTATTAGTACTAATCAAGACACATTCTGAGTTGGAGATACCAGATGATATCCCTTACATCAACCATAAACCTTGTTAGGGGTTTACACTCTGATCAAATTGATAGCAAATATAGTGTAAGACCTGACATAGTTTGTATTGATATGAGTGCTAGAATGTTATTGAGATATGGAACTTCACGTCCTAATATCACATAATTAGTACCCCTAGGCCTTGATAGATTTATACCATTGTGAGGGATAGTATAACCATAGTTGTTTATGATTGATTACGGCGTCTTGGTCTAGGGGTCTCTCACCATATCGGTTCCCAGCCTGGTGGGCCAGGTTGAGGACCCCTAGGTTGGTTCGGTCCTAGGCCACATTAGGCGGCCCATGACATGCCCTACAAAGAGGATTCAAGGAGTCTTGCCGTTCAAGACAAGGAAACCGTATGCGTGGAGGACTCCTTTCCACCGACATAGCCAACTAGGACTCCAGTATCTTATATAAGCCGCAGACGGGCTAGTCTACAAAACACATCTTAGACAACTTAGGACCCCTTGGTATTCAGCTGTACTTTGTACACACACCAACACAATGTATACGAGCAGGAGTAGGGTATTATCTCCACCATGAGAGTCCAAAATTGTATAAAATCTAACTCCATGTTACCATTCGACCGAATCGCTTGGTTAAGAAACCTTGATGAGGGATCTGCCGAATTTAACTCCGATAGTGGTGGCCCATGCAGGTCCCGCTAGTTGAACTCAGAGGCTTGATGGGAGCTTAGATTAGATCATGATCTACATGTCAAGACAGAACTTCATCTTCGATGCGATCTTGTTTGTCGCTGACTCAGTTTGCTGCCTCGGTCATGTCAAGAACTGCACCCCAGTCCGGATTGCCAAAAATTGGATGAGCTTCTTCATCAAAATAAACTCCAACCTCTACCGAGATCATGAAAAAAATCATCCATGGAGCTCAAGAGCTCAACGTCAACATTGCTATCGTGCGGCCATGCAATATGGCATGAATGACGAAATCTTTTATATCGGGCGTGCCTTCACAAGCATCATTTCACCTATCCCTTTGGTGGGATTGTGCAGAACTGAGTCTACAACAACCCTATAAACTTTTGTTGCGATCCAACGGTGGAATCTCTTGCTACCTTTGGAAGATCCAACTGTTCAGATTGTCATGAGTTTGGAAGAAGGAGGCCAACAGCCAACTCTGACATCCTTTGGAAGATCCAACTGTTCAGATTGTGTGAAATTTTCATGGTTGCGACCTCTCAAATTTAAGCTTGATCTGATGGTTCAAACTCCGGGAAACACCCCAAGAGTGCATCAATTTGTGAATGTTTTTTTGCACGAAAACAAATCTGACACATCTTCATCTTTCTTCATCAACAGACTATTAAATGGTCCCTATAACACTTGTACTCCTCCGGACCAGAGAAGGAGCAACAGAAGGACCTTGAGCCTCCAGCCCCGGCTGATCCAACCGCTAGTTGCACCGACACAATTGATTCGTGCCAGACAGATTCCAACGTCAGTCAGACGCACTCCTCCCATGAGAAATAGAGAGCCGTGCAGATGGTCATTTCCTCCTTTGGCCTGCATGGGACAACTCCTCACTCGGCGGATCATGAGTGGTCAGAGTCAGATCCGTTGCCTATCATGCCAAAGAGGGCTGGAAATCGCTAGAAGGGAGCTCGGGGCTGAGCGAAGTGTAGTGAGTAGGGTTTGGCCCAGGGATTGGATGGGGACGAATATATGTGGGGTCGGGGTGGGCCAGCGTGGGCCGGATCCGAGGTGGTGGACACACCCGGGCCTCCCCATACCCACCTCGGATTTGGGCTAGATATGAGGGGTGTTGATCAGCCCGAACATTTGGGGCCGGTATGAGGCGTCTGTTTGGGTTGGTTTTTTAATCGGTCAATGACTGAGCCGTCCGCCTGAGCGTATAGGGGGGAGCGCAACTATAGATGTTTGTAAGTTGCTCCCATTATGGACAGCCTTATGGCATCTCCTGAAGGAAATATGCCCTAGAGGGAATAATAAAGT